CTGCAGTCCACTCCAGACGGGATGAGAACAACTTTTGGGAATGCAAAGCTATGTAAGTATTCAATGGAAAAGTCAGCTCAACTCATATGATTGTGGGAAAATTCTACCACCAGTCCTTCATCAGCTTACACGAAATAGGATGAATACATCTCATACTACTGATTTACTGGTAGTCTCGAAACCCTACTCTAATACCTATTTTTTAGGTTTAATCGACAAGATGTCTCGCAACCGTGGAGATTGGAGACTGTAATGCCCGTTTGCTCGGCGACAGGTCGCGGGATCCCATCCGAGTGAGTAGCTCGTGACGGTGGTGTTGATTCGCTCTGATTCTTCTCTTCTCACCGTCTCCTCTGCCCAAAGCTTGCCGGGTTGGGACAAAAAGAAAGACTCGTGGTTGCCATAAGAACGGGGTGCAGCCTTCAAGTGGCATGGCATCAGAGAGTCACACAGAATGTGTTTTCGCGTTTGTTATTTCGCTGGAATGTCTCATTTTAACCTCTTCTCCACCCACTTGCGCGTCACCACTTTCAAAGCGTCTCACGTCGTCATGACCGTCACTCGGGTCGTGCATCGAATGACCGCGTCTGAAGCTGTCGGTAGATCCTGTCTACGCTTTTGGGTCGGTTCAGTTCGCTCAAAGTGCCGCGCAAGCACTGACCGAAATGGTTGCGCTGAGCAAATGGGTCTGCTCAAAGATCTTCGGCTTCACACGACCCAACTTCTCTTTCCTCCCACTGACCAGCTCCTCTTCATTTTCTTCCTTTCCCCTCTCTCCTCCCCCCTGCCTTGTTCAGCGCAACAAGCCTCTGATGGAGAAGCGGCGACGTCTTCGGATGAACAAGGCCATAGCAACTCTCAAGGCCCTTATCCTCGACTCCAATTCGAGAGAGGTGAGTACGCTTTTGTGGTACCATTTTCCAGTTTTGCCTTAACTGCCACAGACGGTACTGGACGTTGGGAGGCCTCAGTCTCAGATACGGCCTCATCGGAAGTCCGAGGCGTTGGGTTGTCTGGCGGAACCTTCTGTCTGTAGGCATTGGCAACCGTTTGTCAGTCGTCCAACTCGGAAAAGCAGGACAGTGTACAACAAGGCCCCCGAGACGAGCAGATTCGTCTTGTCCACGCTGATCGCAGCAGCGTGTTGCCACGGCGACTGAATGTCTTCTTCCAGCGTCGGCTCACTGACACGAGACGGTGGACAGAGTTAAGGGATAGACATTTTTCGATTTGGTGTTGGGTTGTATTTTCGCGTAAATGTTGGTTTCTGGCTTTGACTGTGGTTTTCTTCCGCCCGACATATCAAAGAGCCACTCAGCGACGGAGTTTTGCACGAGATTGGCAACAATTCACAACCTACGCATCATGGATCATAGTTGCCGGGCCATACTTATCGCGTGTGTGCAGCACACACGTCCTGGATGATCGGGACAGACATCAGTTCGTCTTTCGAGGTCCGGTCGGCTGTGGTCGCCGAGTCGGAACTTCTGCTTGAATGTGACCCAACTTGTCATTTCGAAAGAAACATTGTTTCGAGCGAATTCGTGAAACCGAACGACTGCTTTGGCAGATTGTGTGCAACAGTTGTCGGCCCATCATCCCGCGACTTCGGTGAATCCGTGCGGAGACAGACGTCGTTGGTGCGAAAAACCATGTACAGGTCAACTTCCGGTCAACCCAGTAAACCAACTTTCCAGAATAACAAACAGTCTTGTTGAAGATGGGAAGACCAAGATGTTGTCGCGTCTGTTATGGTCGCAGTCTCCTTTCGATTTATAGAAATGGCTGGTCCGAGATGGAGAAGATGCTCTCGCGAGTGGGGTTGTGAGCCTAAACGGGCAGAAGTGGGTTGTCAACTTGGTCTTGTTGTCAAGGCGACTTAGTAGAACGCACCTAGTCCGAAGTCGTCTGCCATAGTAGTTGCCATGACTCCCAGCATCTGACAATGGACTTGATACATTCTCAAACGTACCACAACTGCTATGACAGACGACTTCGGACTAGATGCGTTTTACTAAGTCGCCTTGACAACAAGACCAAGTTGCGACAACGAGGTA